GATGCATATGAGCAGGGGCAGAGGGATGGTTGAGGGGGGAAGTCCTGAGAGAAGGGGAAGCGTAGACTAAAATGTAGCAATGTTGCCACCCTGTACCCCTACCATTTGGTATGCCCACTGGCAGTCCCATACACTCCTCTGTAGGTACCAGGCAAAGATGGGTCTGGAACCAGAGAACACTGTTATCTTTCAGCTCCTGGGATGGCAGTCGCTTCTGTCTCCACAGGGATATGGGCACAGCTGAGTGCCAGTCAGGGGAGACATTACAGGGGAAGAGCAATCCTAGTTCAGAGCGTGAACAACTACTGCTTTGACTGCTAGGAGATCTGGCAATAAAGCTGTAACACAGGTGTAGTAAGGTTTCCAGCGCCTCCCACATGTTCCATGGAATTACCAGTCTCAGCAGAGACCCATCATAACAAACGATTCTCTTCCCTTACTCCAGGTCATGTGCTGGCACAAGATCTCACATAAGCAGCAGGGCATATCTTGTGTGACTGCCACCTGCAAGCCCAAAGAACTCCACCTGGCACTGATGCGACACTTGCCAGGGAGATACTTGCCAGAGAAACAGTATCCCGACATAGGGATAGACAAGTTATTGGGAAGAGACTTCATAGCAGGTGATCCCTGCCCACCTGTAAGAACCTCCAGGGAGGAAAGATGCAGGGCAGCAGGTAGCTGAGAGTCAGTAGCTGGGAGAACACTTAGCATGATGAGGTCCACTGCCATCTCAGCGCCTCATGAAAATGACTGTGCAGAGCAAAAAAAAGCATGTTTCTCCTCTTAGTATCTTAGAACTTTGCAACAACTTCAAGGTCTGTTCTACTGTTGGTGCACTGCTGTTGGTACAGCTATCAGTGTTTGAATGGAAATTCAGAGTTCACACACAGATTATCTGTTGACTTTGGAAACAATCTCCAGGCCATTTTTTATTTTTTTACTCTTCAGATTTCACCCCAGTGCAAGAGAGCTCAAGAGACTCCAACACTGATGCTACCCCAAGGCCACAAAGAGACACTTCCACACCAGTAACTGAAAATGTCACCACCAAAATCAAATACTGGAAGAGTCTTCTTTATACCAAATCACTACTTGCTGCCAATGTGTACTGGCAGGACTGGTCAGAGGAGCTGCTGAGAACTCTTCAGCAGACTTCTGTGACACAGGACTTCCACTTCCTGGTACATAGACTGTCAAGGGTCCAGGCCCTCCAGCCCCTGTGTCCCTCCAATCCACCATGGAACCATGCAGGTCCTTCCAGGGCAGAGTGGTTATGATTGCAGAGTATGTATGCAACATTGCAGAGAGGCAACAGGCATCTCAGACTACCTCACTCAGCCAGAGGCAATGGTACCACCCTCACACCAGCACAGGCTACCATGGAGACTGGCTGCCTCCTCCTGCCCTTACTCACCTTTCCCTGGCCAGTAACTGCTGCCAGATGATCAGTGTGAATGTGGAGAGGTTGTCCAGGTGTGCCATGTACTTATCTCCCCAGAAACCAGTTGCCCTCAGTAGCCAGAACCTTGCACCCCCCCAGCGTGGCTGGATGCCAAACAGGGAGTGGAGACCTGAGTGTCAGGTCTGCTAAATGCCCTAATAGGGGTGGTCCTTCCCTTCCCTGGAGCAATAAGAGAGGCTATCACTCTCCCAAGTGCCTTCCCCCAGCAGAAAGGGGGCAGTGCCACAAAAAGGCACCTGAGCTTTGATGATGAGATGGGGAGATGGTCCCTGGTGCTATCTGCCTCCAGCCAATTCAGCAAGGTGGAACTGGGCCTGTCCATGGAAATGTGGCTATCAAGCTCCTTGGGGCCATCTGGCTCACCCTGGAGGGCATGCCTCCATGCCACAGCACTCCCAGACAGCAAGGAGACCAGTAGACAGCAAGGGACCCAAAACCACCTGACAGCATACTTAACGCAATTGCATATTTAATGCAGTTTGCAGTGTTGAGTTTTAAACTCAGCAAATCTGCTTGTGAAAAGGCCTTTGTTTTCAAATGTTTATCTCATATTTATTTTAAGAAATAAAGCTTGTACAATTATGAAATGTATTCCTCTGCACTTCTTGTCCAGTTCTTAACTTGAGTTGTTCATAACCTTGACCCACCCAACAACCTGTACGTCAGTTTCCCCCTCCCAACCAGCCCTCATGAATTCTCAGTGCAGGATCGCATACTCTAGTTTCCCACCCCAAGGCCCCCTTCCCCAGTCCCAAACAACAGGGGGTGTCAAGCCCAACAGGTAGCATGAAAGATGTTTACTGAGATGTTCCAGAGAAGCAGATCACTGAAAAGGTGCAGTGCAAATGAAGGGGTCACTATCACTTAAAGATCTTCTGCACTCTCTCCTGCCTGACAAAATCTTGTCCCAGAAAGTTGTCAAGTCAAGGCTTCCCTCATCAGAACTGGTTTGTCAATGGCTCTCCCTAGGATGCTTGACTGGGAGTGCCACTTCAGCCCATTCACCATCCAAAGTGCCAGGGGCTTCCCCAACCATGGGTCCATATACAGCCATTCTGGTGTCCTGGAAGGCTTTACCCTTTGCCTCAAATATTGTGTGGAAAATGTAGATAGTGGACTTGAAACTGGGAATGTTCTACAGCTCAAGTTCAAGACAAATCCCTAGGGACCTCCAGCATGCTGTTAGGTGCCCAAAGGTACACTCCACCACCATCCAGCAGCTGTTCAGCTGGTAACTGAAGAACCCCTTCCTGGGGTCAAGTCACCTGGTGTATAGCTTTCAATGGCTGGGGGTGCAGTGGCTAAGCCACATCCCAGATAATCAAGAGAGGGAACAGTTCATGGTGCTCTCACCAAATACATGATGGGAGTGCCAGGGAAGAACTCCCCCATCATCCTCCCCCCCACACACACACACACTCCATCATCTGTGGGAAAGTAGAGTTCCTGAATCATATACCCATCACAAACACCTAACATGGATGTTAGTGAAGCACTTCCAGTGGTTTAAAACTGCCTGGAGTATAACAGAAAAGAACCTTTTAAGGTTTATTTAATCTGAGGTGCAGTATGAGGAGCAAAGAATGGGTATACTTCTTCCCATTGATGGTTGCCATGCAGTTCTGGAAGCCCATCTGTTCAAACTTGGTGATGACCACCTACAGGTCCCCAAGGTGGATGAATCAGGGCCCCAGCTCCTGAAGTATGGTATTGCACACCTCATGCACAGGTGTCATTGCTGTTTTCTCCCCCACACTGAACTTGTTGGTGTTGTAATGAATGCTGTTAGTGTATACCAGGGGTGGGCAATTATTTTAGGTGGAGAGCCGCTTACCAAGTTTTGGCAATCTGTCAAGGGCTGCAAGGCTACCCCTACCCTTGATAGGTGCCCAACCCCCTGGCTGCCATCTTGGGACCAGAAGTCCTGCTGCCTAACCCCTGACCTTTGCCACCAGAAGTCCTTCCCCTTGCTGCCTCCCGCCCCATCAGAAACAAGGCCAAGGTGGCAGAAAGGAGAGGCAGGCAGGGGCTCTATGGAGTCAGATTGGTCTGCACCAGCAGGCAGAGGGGGGAGCACCTGGCAGCCTGAGCCCCATGCTCCGGCCACACCACCTGGGCCCCTGCCATCATTGGCCCCAGTGCAACAGCGTGGGTCCCGTGCTCCCATCCAGCTGTTCTGCACTCCCATATGCCCACTGCTACTCCCCCACCACCTGTCACTGCCATTTCCCTGCTTTCCTGCCTGCTGCACCCACACCTTTCCACCACCCACCCACTGCTCTGGCACCATGCGGTTCCTGGCTGCAGAGCCAGGACCACAGGAGCTAGCCTGGCCTGGCCCCAAGGACTGGGGTGATCACCCACAGTCTTGCCCTACCTTCCCCCTACCCAGCATTCTTATCTGAATTTCTGTCTCTGGTGGAGGGAGGCAGGAACAGCCCCAGGGTCCCAGGCCAGAAGCCTCTGCTAAGCAGAGGCTTCTGGAAGGGGAAGTGGGGGGATGGGATTGGGTAGGGTGAGGCAGGCCTTGCTGCTGCAGCTGGTGGGACCTGCCACCAGCTCCGCCTGGGTCTTACTGCCCCCGGTGCTTTGTCATCCCCTTGGGTTCTACTGTCCCTGCTGCTCTGTCATCATTGACAGACAGCCAGGGGCAGATAAATATTAATTTTCTAAATTGTTTAGGGGTCCTGCAGGCCAGATAAGATCCAGGCAGGCCAGATCTGGCCTGCATGCCATATTCTGCTCACCCCTGGTGTATACCAACTTCTAAATCACCAGGGCCATGTGTCTCTCAAAAGACATGGGGCACTGAAGCCCAATGCCATTAAGCTACAGCAGGGGGAAAAAGCTTTGTGCAAACGCCCATGAATGTGTCACAGGACATCCTAAAGTTCTTCTGCCACTTCTCAAATGACAATGAGCTGCTCCCACCAGTAGTGCCCAGCAGCACTTGTGCAGTGTTGGTGTTGTGCCTCCTGTAAATGGGTCAGTATCATGGTCCTCAAAGTAGTGCCCCATCAGGGCTAGGACCTGATGTCCCTGAAGCAGGGTGCCTGTTTATTACAGCGGCCAGAGCAAGGATTTGCTTGGCTTCCCCACTTTCCATCTCCAGGGAGCCATTGGAGATCTGATACCAGCTGGGACTGTCAGTCAAGGAAGGATTGGAGAAGACATGCCTGGCCAAGGCAGGATTGGAATTCACACCCTCAGTGAGACAGTCAGAAAACCAACACTTTCCTTAGCTCATCTGTTTTCAGCCACTGTCAGAAATAGGTGGAAAAGGCACACCAGCAAAGCATGCCAGCACACTTGCTTACTGGTCCTCTAGTGGCAAAGTACAAGATATGTATATTAGAGATGGTTGTAAACATTATAATGTGACTGCTTAGAACATGTTCTAACTTTAAGACCACATAACATTGCATAGGTTCAGCATGTACCATATGTCCTATGTGACTAGACCCAAAGAAATCAGTGTTTGCGGTACTCAGAATAAAAGGTTCAGACAGCAAATGACCTTTCTTTTTTCTTTTACCTGGTGGTTTTGGTGTGCCAGCATGAGAGATCCCTCCATTGTGCTGGGTATTATCTCCACTTGAAAAGTCCAGGCTCATGCGAGGTTTTGGCTGATACTCCCTTTTGGGCTGAGACGATGCATCTTTTATTCTACCAAAGAAAGTTAAGTATGTAAAAACTATTGTTGTCAGCAGACCACACACACCACAAGTAGTGAAAGAAGGAAGTTTTCTTCCATTTGCTGCCAAGGCCAAAATTCATGCACACAAATAGGCTGGATTAAAAGTTTGGTATTTGGCTGTGCAAAGCTTTGGATCACAATTCAGATTCAGAGATGATTCAGATGATTTGGAGGCTGAATCTATTAATCCAAATCAAACTGCTGGAAGCTTTAGGCTTTCTGAATTCATTCGGAGCTTCCAAATAGATTTGGAAAAGATTCAGTGATTCGGCGATTCGGCCATAGGGTATAATGGGAAATCAATGAAATATCTATAACTTTATTGTCTTTTGGCTGGTTCAGATGAATCTTGCAGGGTGGTAGCTTCTGCTGAGAGCATGACACACGCCAAGATTCAAGAAGATAGGTGCAGGGGTTTCTGGGAAACTGCGCCTCAAACTGCTGACAAGCAAAACTCATGACATAGGTGACAGTGTGTGTGTGTGTTAAGGCACGGGGCAGGGGGTGTGGTGAAAACTACAGGGATGGTAGCCACTGATGAGGCCACAAAGCCGGCCAATTTTCAAGGAGATAGGTGCAAGGGTTTGGGAGAAACTGTACCTCAAGCTGCAGACAAGCAAAACCTCAAATGCCTCTACACAAATGCTCGTAGTATGGGAAACAAGCAGGAGGAACTTACCCTCCTGCTAGCTGACACCAACCCAGACATAGTGGGGATCACTGAAACGTGGTGGGACCCAACACATGACTGGGCGGTGAATGTAAAGGGCTATAGGTTGTACAGGAGGGATAGGATAGGAAGGAAAGGTGAGGGCGTGGCACTCTACATTAAGGAGGAGTACACATCCTCGTCAATTAACAAAGAATCAGAGGAGGGGCACTCTGAAGTGCTTTGGGTTAGAATACAAGGCAGTCGAGGGGAAAGAGGCTTAACAGTGGGGGTCTACTACAGACCTCCCAACCAAGGGGAACAGCTCGACCAGGAATTCTTCAGTCAGCTCACGGAGGTAGTGAAGCCAAAGGATGTGGTCATCATGGGGGACCTGAACTTTCCAGACATCTGCTGGGAAGAGCAGTCAGCCAGGTCTGACTGCTCACGTAAGTTCCTAGCCAGAATGCAGGACCTCCATCTAACCCAGGAGGTGCACAGCCCCACCAGGGGAGA